ACTGGGGATGTGCCCGCAACCCAGGTACATGCCCTTGACCGGAATCGAACCTGGGACCTTTCAGTCCGCAGGCCGATGCTCTATCCACTGAGCCAAACCGGTCTCGGCCCCATGGATCACTTTAGAGCAAGAGGCAGAGAACCTTGCAGGGGGATAAAACAGACTATCTCTCTGTGAAAATATATTGCTGCTTTTATGCCCAGAGGGTTTTTATTCCTAGAAGAACATGTATTAAAATATCCAGCAGGTAAGCCACGCCATGTGCAGAACAACACACAGGGAATAGTTGTAACACCGATGCTTTCTCCCTGTGTATCATGAAAAGCGTAAGCACAGACTATGTCTTATATATAAATATAAATCTATTTTACTGAAGACAAAGCCCAGAGAAGCAAAGGAATTTAAGGTGAATCAGGAAGAAAAAAAAAAATCCCCACCAAGGGATAGAGGAGTGTTGATGAGGAGGAAAAACTTCACTGAAAAAAGAAAATATTACTGCAAAGCTTATGAGAAAAAAAGAGCCTGTGGAAATTTCTTCTCTGTTGCTACAAGGCTCTCTGGCCAGTCTGAGGCCAGGACGGTACTTACTCACGCAGGCCATCAGGTCATGGAAGATGTCCTTGGGGAAGAGAGGGTGTTCCAGGCCCCGGAAGTAAAGCTTCAGGACGCCAGCTATGGAGTCCATGTCATGGTCATTCTGGTCCCCAGCCAGCGGGTCTTCTCCTGATAAGCAACCCCCCCAAAAAACCAAGAGGGTGAGAGAGGTAAAACACGTAGGATGAAGCAGAGGTGGTGGAGGAGGGGTGATCTAGTCAAGTTCCTCATCCCAGTCCATCAGCTCTCTGTCCAGCATGGCGGCCATGACAAGGGTGACCCAGGAACTGGATAAAGCAAAGACTGCTTAGGCTCAGGGTCCCCGGGCCAGAGGAGGGGCACAGGAGTTCAATACGCTTGTGCCAGACTAGCTCAGGGACAGTCCCTATGGGCTGGGGATGGGCCACAGCAACTGGCTCTTCGAGAATCACGAAACCAGGCTGGGCCTGAGCTCCTGGGGGAGGAAAGCGAGGCCACGGAGGCCAGCCCCTCTGCGCTGCTCACACTCCTCCCGGCCTGCAACAGAGGACACCTACTTACGAGAGAACAATCATGCCGGAGCTCCCTATGGAAATTTCCTATCAGATGTGATTAGATTTAATGATTGGACCAACCTCAAATTGAAACTATATATATATCCATTACAGTGACGGAAATTGCCAAAGCTTGCCCATTACCTTAATAGCCCACAGAATAATAAATGGGCTACGATGAACAGGCGCATTAGCCTTGATATTAACTACCACCAAGGGTTCCGGGTGAAGCCATAAACTGCCCAGACACCACAGTTAACTTCTTGGGTTTCAGCAGATCATCCCCAGGAAGCAGGATGAATGGGGCTGAGAAGGAGGCAGCTGAGATGGACGTTGCCATCTCTCTGCGTATCTAGGGAGAAATGTCTATAACGGAGCAGGTGCCGAGCTGAAGAGGGAGGCGAGCTGGCTTTCCAACCTCTGGGTACCTCTCAGGGAGAAGGAGTGGAGCCAACAGTCCGGGGGGCTGGCAGACATTTGGTCTTATCTTCCAGGCTGTTTTCTCACCTCTCTCAAAGGCGTTTTTGATGTCATTCACTTCCACCTGGGATCCCGACACCCGGAAAATTCCTTCATGCTGCAGACCTGAAAAGTCAGGGAAAAGTGGTCAAGAAAAAGCAAATTCACACAGCTCCAAGCTTAGCTGCATGTCCATCTCTGCCAGCCAATGCGTATTTAAGTACCCTTTCTCCCTTCTTCAGGCCAATGGAGAAAACAGGTGCAAGGATGCTGAAAAAGTCACTGGAATGGATACAAGGCATTAACAGGAAAAAAGCACCAAGTCAGAGACTTAAGGGAGGAAATCTCTACACCTGGCTCCATAGGGAGACTATGAGATGGGTTCCTTCCAACCTCTGTTCCCATCTGCAAGGTGGGAAGTGACCTTCCGGCATCTTCTCATCACCCAGGATCAGGAATAGGGACCTCGAGCATGGCAGGCGAGCCTTCAGATACCATCGGAGGAGTGTCAGAAGGTCTGAGATGACAATTATGCTTTAGCTGTTCTAACACTGTTCGGCGGCTCTAGGGCACAATGCTTTGAATAGTTATGGGAAAGAGAGGACATGACAAGTGGTCAGTCAACAGACAAAATTGCCAGACACTGTGCTAGCCACTGGTCTGTGACTGCGGCTTCACGCAGGAATGTTATACTGTGATAATGTACGTGAGAACTTTGTCATCTTGGGTTAGAGTAGACGTAATCATAGTAAAATAATGCATACGTGGTAATTGCTAAGACATGCTTCATATAAATAAATCAACTGGTTCTCACAACAGCCATGTAAGTAAGGTAGGGGAACCAGCAATCCCATTTTCTAGATGAGGGGACTGATAAGTTATAACCCGCCTTAGGTTGCCTAGGCAGTAAGAACCATCAGAGCCAGGACACAAACCCAGGCCCGCTGGCTACAAATGTGTACTCACTCCTGAAGGCCCAGCTTGTGGGACCTCCTAGAGTGAAGGTGTGGAGGACCAGAAGCCATCTGTTAGTCTGAACATGGATTCGGTTTGTAGAGAGCACCACACATGCAACCGCAGACCTGGTAAGGGATCCAGGAAGCCCGGCATTAGAGCTGAGCCCAGGTTTGGACTGAACTAGCGGCACCCAGGCCTGCCCCACCTTTCTCGGGAGCCCTGTGCCTCCGTCTTTATTCTGCCAAAGTCTCTCCGTTATGGCACGATCCCTTGAAAATGTTGATGTCAGAGAAATCTCAAACAAATTTCTCTTTAGGAAAACGAAAGAGAATACTGCTACATTTTGCCTAGTGTTTAGGGCTACCTGGTGAGGGGGACTGAATTCTATCAGCTAGACCGGCGGCTGCCAACCAGTGGTCAGTGGACCACTGGTGGTCCGTGAGGTCTGAAAGGTTGGCCACCCCTGAGCTAGACCTTGGAAGGTAAACCATACAGGCCAGGACTGAACTCCTGAATCCAACTGAAGCAATATTGAGAAGCAAGTACGGGAAATTCAATTACAGGGCTTGTAACAGGACTTGAGTTCTCTGTTCCTTTAACATGAAGCATGTTAAAAGCCCTTTAGTACCAATGTCATATTACCATATTAGTTACCAATAGGGTGGAACAGCCACATGCTGTTTCATCAGAAACAGTCATAGACCCAGCGAGGTGTCAAAGCCACAGCAGAACAGGGATGTCATCTCAGGGACCAGGCGACACGGTGTGTTCTACTTGGTAAAGCCAACAACTTGCTTCATCATATCCATGATCTTTTTCATTTTTTCTTAGTATAAAACCAATCAGACTTGGGCAAGTTATTTGGAAATGGCACAAAACCTTCCATTTTGGATCCAGCTGTCACCAAGCATTGTCCTCCTAGAGAATTCTTGAAAGGATTGCTACAGCACCGCCTCCTGCTCACCTACTTTATCCCTCCACCCTGAAAACGATGGAGTTCTCCCATCCTGACTCAGTCTTGGCTGTTCCTTACATCCCTTCTCCTTCACATCTTCCTGGATCACCCTTACCCACCATTGACAGATGAGCCTCAGATTTCTCATCTCTATAATGGGACTAGATATCTGCCTCCCAGGGGACATGAAAATAGTATGAATGTGCAAACGAGTGGGCCACAAACACGTCAGAACTGACACATGTTAGGGACTCTATCCCCATTAAGTGCACATAAATAACAAATTTAATCACAGTTTCTAGGGAGTTTAGGGATACCTTGAGTCCCTATTTGGAGGAAAAGTTCAATTTAACTGAGCAAATGTTTGTTTTTTAAATAGCTACAATGTACTTTTCTTTCTTTCTTTAAATCAACAACATAGAGGACACAGATATATCCTTATATCGTCTTCTTTCTTGCATGAAAGGTAACATGCTTTTTTACTTTTTAACTTTTATTTTATTGGTTTGGGAATTAGAGAGAGAGAAAGAGAGAGATTGATTTGTTGTTCCACTTTTTATGCATTCATTGGTTGCTTCTTGTATGTGCCCTGATCAGGGATCAAAACCATGACCTTGGTGTATGGGGACGACTCTAACCAACTAAACACCACAACCAGGGCTAAAGGCAGCATGCTTTAGACACTCTTTTGCACTTTTCTTTTTCATTTGACAATATATCCTGGAAGTCTCTCCATGTCATTTCCTAGAGTTTCTCCTCATTCTTTTTTGGTAGCTGTACAGTATCCCACTGTATGGATATACCACAGTTTATTTAACCACTCTTCTATATAAAGGCATTTAGGTTGTTTCTAATATTTTGTAATTACAAATGTAGTTTTATGCTGTTGTACATATGTAGTTTTATGCTGTTGTGTATCTTTAGGGTGAATTCTACAATGATTGCTGATCAGAAGACAAGCGCATATGCAGTCTTGCCAAATTCCCCTCCAAAAGGGTTGTAGCGATTTGCATTGCCGTCAGCAATATGTAAACACACCACAGAAACATGCTAAGATACAATATCCAAAACACATCCACTTTCTCAGCTCTTCCACAGCTAACACCCTGGACCAGGCCACAGTCCTGTCTTCCCTGGGCTACTGCAGTAGCCTCCTATAAAAAACCACTCCCTGTTCAGAATTCTCCAATAGCTTCCCACTCACTCAGAACAAAACCCAAACACCCACCCTAGCCAACAAAGCCCTGAAGTATGACCACTCTCCTCTCCACTCACTCTGTTCCAGCCACACTGGCCTCCTGTGTGTGGCCCTTGTGTATGCCAAGGATATCTGCATTTGATGTTCCTTCTCCCCCAAATGCTCTTCCCCAGATACCCTCATGGCTCACTCCCTTACATCCTTCAGGACTCTGCTCAAATGTCACCTTAGGTGACCGTAGGCTTTTCCTGACCCTGCCTAGAACAGTGTCTCCTCTCCATTCTCCATCTCCTCACCTCGCTTTACTTTTCTTCATGACACTCACCAATCCCTGGCATATTATATATTAATTTATTTATGGACTATACAAGTGATCATTTATTTACTTGCCCTTTAGTAGAATATAGGGCTCATGAAGAAAGGAACTTTTTCTTGGCACACAATGAGCAACCAATGTGTGTGTATGTTGAATGAATGAATGAACAGAATGCGTGGATGAGCAAATAGGAGTGCAGACTCTCTTCTTATTGTCCTTTAGGCACAAATAATTCTTCCTCCCATGAACTTAGTTTGGACTTATCTTTGCCAACTGCTTGACCATTAATCATTACTATCTTGTGAAATTTCTTATGCAGCCGTTCTGAATTACTAAAGCTTATCTCTTTTTAAGTTTTCACTTGCTCATTTATTTTCTCCCGACTGTATCATAAAACCAGGGAAAGACAGCAACAGCGTACTACCCCTGTTTCTGTTTTCCTGTTTGGCAATGCATGGCGCCCAGCATGGATCAGGGGCTTGATAAATATTTGTTGACTGTTCAGGAATGATGTAAAATGCTGTTACTTCAAGTGAATAGAGATAAGATGAAAAATTGTAGCTGATTAGAATGGGGTTAAGTTGTAGGCATGCTAAAATAATTACTACTTCAAAAATGAACCCAAGCAATGTCTCAGTTTATCAGGAGAGAGGAAGGAAACCAGCAATTATCTACACATCTCCTTGGCTCCTAGAGGGTCATTCTGTCCTTTTTCCCTATAATTAGACAGGAAAGCACCTAAAAACAGTTTCTAATGCCTAGTTCCTAGAAATCTTCATGGCGCTAGCTCAGGTATCTGTGCTCTCTAAACACTCGTACACTTGGAAGATCAACTCTCTGGCAGCTCACTTCTAACCCTAAATTCTGCCCAAGCAACCAAGGGGTGAAGAAGGAATGGAGTTTCTGAGACTGAGCTTTATCTAAGCCAGTGGTTCTCAACCTTCTGGCCCTTTAAATACAGTTCCTCATGTGGTGACCCAACCATAAAATTATTTTCGTTGCTACTTCATCACTGTAATGTTGCTACTGCTATGAATCGTCATGTAAATATCTGGTGTGCAGGATGGTCTTAGGCGACCCCTGTGAAAGGGTCGTTTGACCACCAAAGGGGTCGTGACCCACAGGTTGAGAATCACTGATCTAAGCAGAAGATAGCGTGATTTGACTCAGGGCAAGAAGGAGCCAGTCCCGACCGACTCTCAAATGTGGGTTACAACTTTAAGACCAGCTTCTAACTGCGCTCTTGACGATGCTGTATACAGTGAGACCAAACAGAAAAAACCCTGAATGTTTTTAGGAATCAACGCAACATTACAAAAGGAGTTGTTTGTAAAGCAGACTGATGCAAAATGCCAATGTGACGTAACGGTGAAGGCTGTGCAGTGGGAGATACCGACACGTGCAAAGATGGTGAATACTGGTGAAACTACCGGCACACATCATGCCAGCTACACTAATTCACTTAACAGCTGTCATCTAAAAGTCACTCCCAAGCTGGAAAAGGAAGTGTGGTAAAAGGCTGAAGCCTTCTGGGTCAAAACATGTGATGTCTTTCTCTCAAGGTCTATGTGTGGCCATTCAGAAGCAGAAAATATTACATGAACAAATACGATTTTATTCCTTTTCTGAGCATGTCAGGATGGGAAGTCAGTCTCTACGCTTGCTGCTGAAAGAATTCCTGGAAGTTCTTCCCGACTTTGCAAATATGAGCAAGGCTAGCACCCTGCTTACCGTGTCTGCTGATAAACCGGATACAGCTTTCCACCACCAGAGGAATTGCCTGGCTGGAATCCTGAAAAGCCAAAGAGACACACGTTAGGATCTCTAAACACGGAGAGCCCCGGGTCAGAGGAAACGGGACAAAGTGTGAGGAGCGTGTCTCAGCTGGCCAGTGGCTGGTCCACAGAAAAGTATCCAGCTTCTCTGCCCTTGAGGCTCTGGAGCTCATACACAACAATCCGCTCGGAATGCCACACAGATGCCTTAAGTCAGCATGTCCTACAGGAAACTGATCATCTTTTATCCCAAGTCAGATCCTTACCCTCAGCCATCCAATGAATACATTTTTGTCAAGTATGCCTCCTAAATATCTCTCAAATCCATTCCCTTTCTCCCTCTCTACTGCCACCAACCCAATCCAATTCATCATTTTTTTCAATCCCCACCCTTGTTGTCCTCCAAACCACCCTCTTCTTCCTTTATATAGTGGTTAGGTGACCTTTAAAAGTGTGCATCTGACTGTTTACTCTCTAGAGTCTAGGCTAAACTCTTGAAAGACTCCTCCTGCTTTATTTACACAGCCTTGCATGGCCAGGGTCCTGCCTTGGCCTCCAGTTTCATCTCCTTCTGCTCTTCCCCAGTCTCTATTTTAGCCACACTGGCCTGCTTTCTGTTCCTCAGATAAGTCCTCCTTGTCAATGGCTTTGCATGAGTCACTCTGCATCTGGAATGCTCTCCTCATACCTGGCTCCTGCCCCATAGTCTCAATGTAAGAACCACACTTCCTCAGGATGCTTTTTCAGACTCCCAGATGAGCTCAGGGCCCTGTCTACAGGGTCTCAGCACCTTGAACTTGGCCCTCACAGCCTTGATTGTGACTTAATTGTGTGGGTGTATTTGTTTGCAACTTGTCACAACTACAGCTCAAGCTCCACAAGACAGAGCCTATATTAACTCTTAGGTGTTCAGTGAGGCCATGATGTTCTCACATAGTGGGTGCTCAGTTAATGTCAGTTAAGGGTGGTAGAATGAACCAATGGGAGCATCAGAATGGGAGTTTGGTATAAAAGGGAAGAAAGAAAAAACCTCAGATCTTGGTAATAGTGCAGACTAATTGGTACTAAGCAAAGAAGCAGGCCTCTCAGATGTCAGTCTTTGCTCCGCCGTTTTGCTATACAACCCTGAAATTTATTTAACTTCTTTGGGCCTCCATTTGGTATCTTCAAAGTAGGGAGGGGATAGGTGGTAAAGAGAGTAATATTTCCTATTGGCACATAACCATTAGTACTGAGCATTTACAGAGGAACTCAAAGATGTGTTGGGCCATGTACTAAGAGCTTTAGATGGATAGGTCCTGGTAACAACCCTAGGGGGTACATAATTATGGTTATCCTCATTTCACAAATGAGAAAACAAAGGCTTAGTAAGATGAAATAGCTGCTTATGGTGACATAGTAGTTAAGTGGCAGAGCCAGGATTCAAACCCAGGTATTCTCCTTCTGAGACTGAACCTATCTCTACCACCCATACCACAACCTAGGAACTCAGCAAACATCGTCAGGTGCACATACCAAACATTGTAAAAACCAGTAGGGCTTCATAATGCAACTAAACACACATTGGAGAAGAAAGGGATCAGGCAGCCCCTAAACCTAGTTAGAACGGGCTGTAGATGTTGAGGACAGAGACTGTACTCTCGAGTGGGATGGGTCCTGTGGCTTCTACCCCTTTCACAGTTGGCCTGTGCCCTTCCCTGGCTTTGAATTTCCAACTGTAACCATGGGGCCTGGCCACTAGGGAAGCAGCTGGGCCTCACAAAGAAGTCAGGGTGAGAGAGGAGCTGGCATGGCCTCTAGCGCCCAAGCTTATTGGGAGCCCAGGGTGCTGCCACAGGGAGTACTGTGTGGGCCAAGGCGGGGCTGCAGTCAGGAAGGTCTTAGTGGCCCCCAAACACATCTGCTTCCCCCAGCTTCCCAGCTGCAGCAGCCAGTGTCTGCCCTCTGGCTGCCATCGCTGACTTCTGCCAGTCAGCCTGGCTGATCTTAGAGTTAAAATCTTGGTCAGTTTTTCCATACTCTAATGAAGAAACTATTTAAAAAACAAAACAAAACAAACAAATAAAAAACAAACAAATCCCCCATTTTTGGAAGTCTTTTTATGTTTATAAGTGTTATATGTTTTTTATTTACAAATAGCAATAGCAGTGATAATTAGGATAGTGATATGAAGGTTTGCAAAGTTTTTCTGGTTCTAGATTTACAAATAAAGACCCAGAGGGAGGGAACAAAGTTGCTGGCTTCAACAAGCTGAGAACAACATTTTGCCTAGACTTACAGGTAGTTAAAGGGAAGTATACAGGGTTGCAGAAAGCAAGGATTAAAGACATTAACCTGCATGTCCATAGTCAACAGGACAGGAGTATGTCAGAAGTAGCTCAGAGGGGTAATCTGTGGGCAGACAAGAGTGGGCCTGAGATGAGCTGCCTCCCTGTGGAAGAGTATTCTCCTGGGCCACACTGCTCCAATGGGGCCTAAGAAAGAGTCCAGGGGAAGCAAAACCTGAACAAAGGCATGAAGGCTTCAGACCCTCCTAAGGGGTCCCCAAAACTCTCACTTCACTGTCGATTTTGCATACAGCTGGCCAGGCAGTGTCTCTGTGTGTCTTATGCAGGGTGTGTCTCTCCTGTTCTTCCTCTCTCCTTCCCTCCTCCAACATTAGAATCCACCTCAGCTTAATTATTTATTTAGAATATTTTTGGTCCTTTAATTCTAGGGTTGGAAAGGTTTTTTTAAGGACAATTGGGCCAAATCCCCATTCAATCACATTAAGGGAACTTTAAACCAGAGGGAGAAAGGTAGCAGGTATAACTGGAAATAACAGGAAAGCAAGCAGTCCAGTGGTTTGCAGGAGTGAACCATCAGGAAGATGGACAGATAATGTCAAAATAATCCCTTGTTTGGCATAATTTGCCATGAGTGAGAGTTAGGATTTTTGTCAGGTAGTGATCTCTGTTATATTTGTTAGCTTTCCGTTTTCACTGAGGGAGAATATACCAGCTAACAACATATTAGATGTGGGTAATGGGAAGAAAAGAGGCATCAAAGATAAAATTTGGGACTTCTGAGGCTGTGAAGAATGGAGGGTCCCAATAAGAGAAATAAAGACATTAGGGGAGGTGGTAAGGAAGTTAAAACATGGTGAGGAGACTGATGCTATCTCATGAGGGTGGGAGGTGCTATCTTGAACCTCAAACAGTAATGTCCAGCAACCAGTTAGGAGTCAGATCCAAGACCAAGCTGACATCACGATGGAACAGTGGAAACTAAAGAAAGGAGAGGAAGGTTCACCAACCAGTTAGGAGTCCGATCCAAGACCAAGCTGACATCACGATGGAACAAGTGGAAACTAAAGAAAGGAGAGGAAGGTTCACAAGGAAACAAAGTGACAGGGGAAAGGCTCTGGAGAGAAATACGAGGGCCAAGCCTCGGAAATGCCTGAACTTAGAGGACTGGAGAAAGAAGGGCCACCAAGGAAGCTATGGAAGCCACAGGAAAGGAAACGCTGGGCTGAGGGGAGCAGGGAGAGTTTGGAAGCAGCAGTTGCGGTATCTCTTTATGAAGAAAAGTCTGAGCTGGTTTGAACCTAGGGTCAAAAATGACGGGAACCTATTAGGGACTCTCAAAAACAAAAGCTACTAGATTCATCCTCTTGTTTGGCTGATTTGCAATAAACAAATAATTATTTATTCCCTGGTCACTTACTTTTACAAGAATGCTCATCAACCAAATTACTTACTATTTACCCTCATGACTGTCAGAAAAATGAGACCCATTAGGGACTCTCAAAAACAAAAGCTACCAGATTCATCCTCTTGTTTGGCTCATTTGCAATAAACAAACAAATAATTATTTATTCCCTGGTCACTTACTTTTACAAGAATGCTCATCATCCAAATTACTATTTACCCTCATGACTGTCAGAAAAATGCTTTACTAATCCACCATTAGATTTGAGCTGTTGGACAAAAACTGGGGCAGCAGAATGAAAATAAGGTCTTTATTTGATTGGGGCTTTTGGTGTATCCTGGAACTTTTATGCAAA